AACAGGTGCTGCCACTTTGATTCCAACTCATGGCCACCCATGAATGGCACAGTGGGACTTCACAGCCTTTTCATTGGTGATTTTTCAAAAGTAGATTGTCAAGTCTTTCTCCTGCAGGACCTCTGGGTAGACTCAAATTTCCAACCTTTTGAGGATCAGTCAAATTCATTAACCACTGAGATCATCAGAGGGATTATAGGCACATTCAGAGCACCAAGTACGCTGCCATTCCAGCAGGAGGACAGAATATTTCTTTATTTTTGCCATTATTTGATCATGTGTGTTTTCCTATATAACTGTGGAATCCAAAAGGACAGAGACCATATCTGCTTTTACTCTCCACTCAAACTCCAGGGGAAAGGGAAAAAAAAGCTCAAACTCAGTGCTGGTGAATCAGAACCAATTCATAAGTGACCCTCCAGCAGGTTTTCAGACTGTAGATCATGGGAGGATATTGTCCGTCTCTCTTCCTTGGAGCCATTGGTGAATTCAAACTTCCAGAGAGGCGCTGCCTTTAGGTTCATAGTGCATCACACTAAGGACTACATCACCACAACTCTCAGTAAATACAGCGAGGTCCGTGAGAGCTGGGACTGATGAAACTACCTTGTTTTTCATGTGTCTTACAATTTGTTGTTTGTTGTTTTGTGCCACTGAGTCGCCTGCGACCCGTAGTAACTCTACGTACAATAACTCTAAACTCGATCCTATCCTGAGGCAGTCTCACTGTCTCCAACATACCTACCTCCATTACTACATTATGGTGTCAATCAATCTAATCCAGGGTCTTCCTCTCCTGCACTGTCCCTCCACCCTTGCAAGCACAATGTTCTTCTTCAAGGACTAGTTCCTCCTTGCCACGTGCCCAAAGTATGTGATATGGAGCTGAAAATCCTACCCTCCAAAAAGAAACTTAGTTTCACCCTCTCCAGGACAGATCTGTTTGTCCTCTTGGCAGTTCAATAAACTTCTCCAGCACTACAACTCAAAGACATCGATTCTTATTCTGTCATCCTTAGTCATTGTCTGCCTGATGCATAGCAAGTCATCGCAAAGACCATGGCCTCAAGGTGCAGATCAGTCTCTGGACTGACATCGTTGCTCTTTAGCACTTTGGAGAGGTTCCTGACAGTAGATTTCCCAGAGCAATTAGTCTTTTGACTTTTTGACTGCTGGTGTCAATAGTGTTGTTTGTAGATCTGAGCAAGCTGTAATTGTTAACAATCTCAATCTTTACTCCATGTACCACAGTGGTGCCAGTCGGCCCAGTGGTAAGAATCATTATCTTCTTGATGTTGAGCTTCAATCCATATTGAGGACTGCAGTCCTGGGCCTTCTGAAGGACCTCCTCAGTTTTAGTGAGAAAGGTTGTATTATCTGCACATCGTAGGTTGTTGATGAGTCTTCTTCCAATCCTGATGCCACATTCCTTCTCATAAAGTTCAGCCTATATGATCTGTTCCCTATATAGATTGAAAAGGTGTGGAGACAGGACTCATCCCTGAAGCACTCCTTTCCTAATTTTTAACTACATAGTAGACGAAGCCAAAGCCTTACTACTTTTGTTCTCTGTCCCTTTAGTGGAAAGTAATTGTGTTTCCTTCTCTGACAGTTTTCTGCCTTACACAAGCTCTGGCCTTTGCAGGTTAGAGTGTACTTGTTGCACTAAAAGCTGCTCTGAATATATGTCTGCTTTCTGTGCTCAACTTTCAGCTGCTTCTCAATCCTACCGGTCCCTTCATGCTAACACATCTAGTCCTCTTGGAAGGTCTGGAGCTGACCTCCCTGGACCCTTGATGGGGGGCTGGTGGAATCTTTAGTTAAGTCTTTTATGAGTAATAACAGTGAAGTTTTACTCATATGAAATTACAGATTTCTCTCTTTCAAAATATGGTAATGAAACTATCCAGTTCTGCTTTTTAAAACCACCACCAGCACGCATCAGTTCAAAATGAGTGCACTGACTGCAAAGTGCTCATCGGGATCACTGTGAAATCATAAGGCAAGAAAGTGCTTACACAAAAAAAATTCTGCTGCTTCTTCCTCATAGTAGACTTTTGGAGATTTGACAGCATTTTTTATATCCTCTTTTAATCATCTATTTTTCAGACTAAAAAGGCAAGGTTGTTCTTTTAAGCAACCCCTTAACATTCAGGTTTGAATTTGTGTCTCTGACTGTGTGGCCTCAAATGTAAATCAGAGAAGCTGGCAGCCACAGGCTGACCATGGCTCTACCGAGAAGAGGAGTCAACATGCTACACGATTGTGGTTTCGGGTAAGACTCAGACACACTCAAGGGAACTCCATGCTCGATGGGGACACAAACAGCACTGGCCGCAGAATAGGAGAAGCTGTAGACACTGCCCATGTCTAAGGCTTACTCTCCATATACTATTTGTGATAGTCTTCGATGGCACAAATAAGAAGTATTTGTAATAGGAAAATTTCCAGTTTCTTCTTCTTTCTCATTTTTGGATAATAATTTTATAGAAAACTTAAAACTGTTTTTATCTTGGGTTTTTTTTATTGTTGCAAAAATGTATACAATGAAACATTTACAAACGCAACAGTTTTGGGGATGAACAATTTAATGATATTAAGTGCAACCACCAACCATATCCATTTACCAGATTCCCCGCCACCATCAGCAGAAACTCAACTAAAGACTCCTCACTTCCTACACATATAACTTCTAGGTAAAATGAAGTCAAAAGCTATACCTTCCTCAGAGTACCTGCTGATAGATTCCAATTTCTGAACATTTTCCCGATTTTTGTCTTTTTGTACAAGTGAGATCATACAATATTTGTCCCTTTGTGATTGACTTATTTCATGGAGCATATTTCTAAGTTCCTCCATGTTGCAGCATCAATCAACACTCTGTGACTACGTAGTAGTTCACTGCATGAAGACAACACAGCTTGCTTATTCCATCTCCCACTGATGGGCACTAAGGTTACTCCCACCTTTTGTCTAATGTGGATAATAATGCAATGAACACCGATGTGCATGCGTCTGCTTGCACTGCTGCTTTCAGATCTCTTGAGTATACCTAAGACTAGAATTCACAGGTCACTTCCATAAAGTGGCTCTGTGCTTACATTTTTGAGGAACCTCAGACTATTGCTTTCTCTTTTGCCATTGAGTTTGAAACCAATGTGCATTCTCCCTTCCCTCTCCCACCACCACACCACCTTACCTCTTCCTCCCCACAGTCACACTCTTCTCCATCTTCCAGGTATCCATTCCCACACCGCCGGCCTCCATACAGTGTTCTCGTGTCTGGCATGTTGGAGAGGCACATTCCACCACCTGACTGCAGATACCTGTCCAACTCCCTCTTGTTGCACCCATTGAACACTCTGGGAAAAGGGTGCCTGGCAGAGAACACGGTTGGAATTCAGTAGACATTTTAGCAATATGCAGTAAAACAGCGTCCAATCCTGCTACCCAGGGGAGTGATTCCACCTGGCTGCCAACTCAATAGTCCATGCACATATATTCTGTCCCATTAGAACACTCATTAATGCATTAACTCGGGATTCTTTCCTTTTTCTGTTATAAAATATTAACCATCCCAAGATGGTTTTTCGGTTTTGTTTCTTTCACTTTGTATGGAGGTGATATTTGCAATTCAGAAAAGCAGTTTCTTCTCTTTGCATTGTTGTTGTATACCATAGAGTCAGAACCAACCCATAGCTGACCCTCCAGTAGATTTTCAGGGGCCGCTAATCTCATGGCAGGAGAATGCCCATCTTTCTCCTGCAGAGCAGCTGGTGGATTCGAACCGTGTGCCTTTGGGATTGCAGCATAGTTTCTTAATTCTAGGCCATTAAATTGCTATGAGTGTGGTTTAGTAGGTCCCTTGAACCTTGGAATTAATGGATAAAATACTAGCCAACTCATTCCTTTCCTGAGGTTGACATTAGATGGGCATTTAATTGGGACAGAACATCAGCACAAAAGACAAAAGTCAAGGGCTGAATTTCTTTGTGGTCAAGTGACCTTTGTTTTTTATTTTTAATTTTTTTTAAAAAAATATTTTATACTGGTTTATTTACAAAGTTCTAATACATTGTGTTTTCACACTGGGTCTTTCCCATTTCTTTCACACACACACACACACACACCTGCCAATCAAATTGTACAACCCTATGATTAGTGTGCGCGCACGCACACGTACACACACACACACACACACACACACTCATCACTCCTCTGCTTCCACCATCCCCCCCTTTGGATCCTAATAGTCACTGCACAATAATGGTTTTATACAACAATGACAGGCACATAGATCAATGAAACAGAATTGAGAACCCAGAAATAGACCCAGCTATCTATGGTCAACTGATAAAACCTATCAAGTGGGGAAATGACAATCTCTTCAACAAATGGTGCTGGCAAAACTAGACTTCTACCTGCAGAAAGCTGGAACAGAATCAACATTTCACACTATACACAAAATCAACTCAAGGTGGATCAGAGACCTGGGAGTAAAGCCCCAAATCATAAAGTTCGTAAGGATAAAATTGATGAACGGGACCTTCTAAAGAGTAAATCCCTGTGTGCATCAAAACTTTTTTCCAACAGAGTGAAAAGAAAACCTACCAAAGGAAAACAAACAGTTGGCAACACAGAAAAATTAAAAAAAAAACAACCTAAAAGAAAACAAAATTTAAAAAGCAGAGAACATTCCAAACAGCTAACCATCCCACAAACATACTCTTTATCATAAGAGTGTGGAAGATGCTGGGTTATTACGACTGGGTAAAAAGTAGTCAAAAGCTAGCAGAACTGCCATTTTGGTCTACAAAGTGATTCCAGTCCTTCAAATGAATCAAAGGTTAAACCCTGGAGAGTTTCCTTTAATTACATTTTATTATATTTATGAAATCTGTTACTGATAATTATTAAACTACTTGCACTTGTGAAAAACTAAAACAACAACAACAACAAATTGGGATCATCATTAAGATGATGCTCAATCATTTGCCTTCACATGTGCTCCCTTGTTTGAGAGAGAAAGGGGTGAGCCCAGTGTCACCACGACCTGATGGAGACATGTGAACGACCTACAGAGTGAACATCATCCACTGAGTGTGACAGTCAAGAAGTGGTGAGAAAACACTGCTCACTCGTTTCCAAGAACGTTCCAGCACCTCTTGGGAATAAGGAAATGCCATTCTTTACAAATCATAATAAGAATTTACTTGTTGGGGTGGAAAGAACACAAGCTTTCACTGGCATGCAGTCCCAAAAGTGGCGGAGGGCCTGAAGAACTCAAAACTATGCTGAGTCTTAATGCTAGCAGATATATACATATATATTTCTTAAAATCCCCCACGACCATAAGGGAGATGAGGACGTAGCCTTGGGGTGTGCAGATGTGCCCCTTCCTTCTCTTTGGTCTTGAGGCAGCATCAGAACTGGCAGTCAACCTGGGACTCTACAACACCCTTTCCCTTGGGATGAAGATAGCAAAATTTGTGGCTATGCTCAAAATGGGTCTTCACCTAGTCCAATAGATGGGTTTTGATCAAAAGGAGAAAAAATGTGGAACAAAATATCAAATTCTAATAGAAAACAGATTGATCAGAACTATTGGGGCTTAGGTAACCTCTGAATCTAATTTCCTGAGACAATCTTTCAATCTTCAATGGAAATAATCTCATGAAATCATCTTCAGACTAAACAAGAGCTCAAGCAGTAAAGAAGGATTTTGTCATATGCATTGTGCTCTTTTGTGAGTCTGGGTAACAAACAAGGAAAACAGCTGTGAATCCTGCAGCCAGTGAGGATACATGAGATCAAACTGACAATCCTCAAAGTCAACACCATTAAGTTGATACTGACTCACAGCTGCCCCTCCGGTGGGTTTCCAAGACTGTAAATGGCATGGGAGGAGATTGCCCATCTTTCACCCATGGACTCCAAGTGCCAGAGAAAGGCAGCCTTTGGATTTGCAGTACAGTTCTCTCCAAGCTAGGCCACCCAGGCAGGAACTCTAAAACTCAGAGATGTTTAGGGCGCACAGAGTCTCAGTTAATGCTGGAGAAACAATATGGGTAGAGATGGTGAGAAGGGTGAAACAATGCCAAGAATGCAGGCAGCTCCTTGAACAGTATGTGCCGAAAATGTTGAGGTTTTTGTTATATACAGTTCACCCGAAACTGGGGAAAAAATGGTTTAACATAAAAAATATTCATGAAATAAAAAGGTACATGAACACCTTCAGATTAATTTTACAGTCACAGGTTCTGAGATAGAAATAAGGAAGGTCTTACATTATGCTGAGTGAAATATCTCAGTCACAAAAAGACAAATACTGCACAGTGCCACTGTTGTAGAATGGGACTGACATCAGCGTTGGGGTGAGACTGAGAAAAACTGGATAGATTATGTATACTGCATTGAAATAGATGAGGGAGAGAACAGTTTAAAAGCGATATATGATTGGGTATTATGGTTATCACAAGAGTCCAGAATGACGGTTGCATAGTGAAGTGCACTCGGGGCAGGGGTATTGTATACCAATGAAGGAATTTTTCTTTTACTTTTCAAAGAGAGGAGCGAACTGAGGGGGAGGGGTGGGCAGGGAGAAAAGTACAACAATGAATGAATGGAAATCCAAAATATCTGTAAATGTTCATTAAAATTAATAAAATTAAAAAATAAATAAATAAGGAAGGTCTTAAGGTCCCACAAGTACCAAGAAACTTGATAGAAACAAACTAGTTCCTTCCACACACTTCCAGTTTCACTGACCCTCTTACAGTTTCTTTGTTAGAAAAAGCCACATTTTTCTCCAAGGTCCCCACCAGAGCTGTAAGAGAGGCTTTGTGCAGCCAGCTCTGAAATATATTTGAATCACAGCTGCCGGGCGTGCTCTGTCCTCCCCATGCTCCCTTTCCTGTCAGCTTCCACATCACTCACCCGGTGGCAGCAGCCATGATGCAGCCACCGTCATCCGCGCTGGCTGGGCAGCAATTCGCAGAATCATGGCTCATCCCAAAGTTGTGACCCATCTCGTGGGCCATGGTGGCAGCCACACCAATGGGGTTCTCGGAGTGGTCCTGCTCAGAGAACAAGTTCAGGTTAAAGGGTAGTCCTGTCTCCCTTCTACATCCTGACCTTTCCTTTAGCAAAACTGGAATATTCTCCACCGAGTCCATTCAAAACAACTCAAACTCATTGCCATCCAGTTGATTTTTGACTCCCAGTGACTCTGCATGGAGTCTCTGAGGCTAGTCTTCTTAATGGGAGGAGACTGCTTATATCTTGTTTTAGTAGATTTGAACACACAGCCTTTTGGTTCATATTGCAACTTGTTGCAGTCCACACCGTCAGTACTCCCTACTGACTTCGCTATCGTTGAGTGAACAGGCTTTCCATAAATGCTGTCCATGTGAAGACTAAATCCACTGGTGTTAGCAATGAAAAATTAAAAGTTTAAAAGTTCATTTCTCCTGAATTCCTCAAGATTGGAGAGCTCATCTGACCCATCAATGAATTTCCTTATTAAGAAATACTTTCTAAATAAATGAAAGAGGAGTTTGTCCCTTTTCTTCATTTTAATTTAGATATCATCAAGAGTTAAATAACTTACAAGGGAAATAATACATGAGTCAAACATACAGTGTTTCTGTCCTAGGACCTGACATTGTATCTGGCATTTGAGCCAAAGACACAAAAGTTAAAGAAAATGGGGGAGAGGGGGATAAAACATAAGAAGCAAAACTGGATGGACGAAACATTTAAGTATGCTTCTTGCATCATAAGTTAGAATTCTAACTCAAAAATCAGGGAGATCTGGTGGCACTGTCTATTGCACAGCTAACTCAAAGGAAGCACCTTTCCAGTGGGTCAAATCAGCCAGCAACTCCCCAGGAGATGGCCAATTTGCTTCCTTGTGATCTGCACCCTCCAAACGCCTGCTAGAGAGTCAGTTGTGAGTTGTCTTGGACTCGAAGGCAATGTAGTTGAGTTTGAAACTAAAGATTATAAACTGTCAGATTACTGTTTCTAGTTTGTAATGGAGGAAATAGATTAAATCTCCCAAAGTCATAGCTGTCATTTGGACTCACCCGCATCTACCTATAGTGTGAACCGCTATGTGGCATTTGCTAGTAAAGACCAGATTAATAAAGGATGAGCAAACAGATGGGAGCTGGCCTCCTTGACAGCTGCTTCGTAACTTTGAAATGAATACTCAGAGCACTGTCACAAAATCAGTGAGAATCACAAAAGGAGACAATAATTTCTTACCATGTCTTTGATACAGGATATACATAATAATGGTGCATGACCTGGAATAAAAGCACTTTTACCTCTATTATCTTTCTATTCTCCATCTCCTATCTTGGAACATATGAGAGATAAGATGGCATATTAACTTAATAACTTCAGGGTTCTTCTAAGCTTGAAAATCAAGGCTAAACTACAATAAAGGAAAATTCACTCTTGGGTGCCTCCATCTCTTAAAACTTCACTGTTTCATTTCAAGAATTTGCCCTAGCTCATGTACAAACATTTTTCCTATAATAATAAATGATAAATTATTTTATGGAAGATGATATTCTGTCTTATAGTTTCCGCCACCTTTAGCAACACCAACAGAATGACTGAGACTCACCATGTTGACACCTCCTGATTGGTACACAGAGCACATGGCCATGAGAGGTGCCAGGCCAATGGTGGTGCCATGGAATGACACGCCTCTGCAGGAGGGAATGGGAGAAATAAGGGTGGTGCTTCAGAGGGAGGCGGCAAGGCCCCTGTCCATGTGCCCAGGAGCGAGCAGCCATCATGGCCCTACTGACCTTCCAGACCATTCTCTTGTTATGCAGGCCAACTGGACAACATTCAAGTTGCCACACCTCCCACTTCCTCTTACCTCCTCCCACATTGCACCACAGATGCAGAAAAAAGAAAGAAAAGAGCACTTTTTCCAGAAAGGTGCCCATAGCCCCATTCAATGGAAGGGAAAGGGCAGGGCTTGCAAATCTGCATCCCATTCCTGCTGGACAACAGAAGGTCAGAGGTAAGAACTGGTGGAGGGAACAAAGCTCTGATGTGATGGTGAATCATGGCCATTTCCACTTGCGGTCAAGGTCCCATGCCAGTTTCCCTGGCTCTGTGTGTGTGTATGTGTGTGTGTACGCTCATGGAGAGTGGGTAAGACTAGGCAGCAGCTGTGGGGGCTGATGTCTCATCCCTACATTAGGCTGGAGCCAAGGAAACAGCTGTGTCCCCTCCGGAACCTCCCAGAGTGCAGCTGGGTGCAAGAATGAGATATTTCTGCTTTTTTTTTTCACTGTGATCCTAATCTGCCAACAGCCAGAAACACTTCCCTCCATTTAATACATCCTTCTCTCAATTGTATGACATTCAGAATGTTGTTGTTGTAATGTGCCGTCGAGTCTCTTGCCACTTATAGCAACCCTATGTACAACAGCCCTGAAACCTGCTCTATCCAGGGCCTCCAGTGTCTCTGATACACCTACCCTCATTACCCCAGTCACTGTATTCAGAATATAGTGAAGGAAAAAAAAAAACCAAATAAAATTCTAGTATTTTGATGCATGCCACAAGCCTGCAATTAAAGAATTTATGTGGAAACCCATAATGTGGTTGGTCCTTTTCTATTTCCCTGTTTGTTTCCTTACCTAGACCAGGAAATCTTTGAGAGCTGAAGCTGTACTTTATTTGCTTTGGGGTCCTAGCATTCAAAATGATACACAGAAGGTGATTGATAGATGTTTGTCAAGTAAGTTCCAGGCAGACTTAGCTCTAAAGGTATAATATATCTATATGAAGTTCCACTGATTATAAACTCATTTTAAGGTCCTGGGAAAGGCTGACTTTACCCAAAGCAGGCTGCCATACTTCTGTGAACTCGACATACATGTTTTCACTCTTCCTAGGTCAATGACTAATGTGACATAACTACTCACAGTCCTAGTTTCAGTTATTTTCCTCAGTTTCTTTTAAAAGGTCAACAAAGGCAAACTCTGAGTGCGCAGAGAAACATTTGGGAAACAGTAGAAAATCGGTAGAAAATATGTGCCTTCTGTTGTAACTTCCGCAAAATACTTTTGGAAGGCGACATTAACAAAAATCAACTAATCATCCTTAGGGGATTGTTTGTGCCTCCATGAACACTGTCATGTGCTAGGTTTTTCTCTCCTGAGGAGCAGCCAACATAAGCCCTCCCCCAAGTGTCGCCCTCCCTTCAAACACACAGCTCTTGACTGACCACTGGTGCTCTCTGAGGTGAAGGACGATTCCAGGAAACCTCTCTCCTGTGTCTGCACTGGGAGATTAGCTCGTGTACCAGACCAGGGAGCCATGAAGATCAAGACAACTCCCTCAAAGTCTGTTTCAAGGAGACTAATTTCCCAAATATAGACTCGGTTGTTAAACACTTTCTGCTGAATGCATGTAAGGCTAACTCCCTCATTGAGATTGTGAACTCTTCTTGGGATGGTTATGCCTTTCAGGCTTTTGAATATATTCTAGGGTGAACTGGGCACTGAGCACAGGTCTGAGAGAAACACCAGATGATCTGGACCAGCAGGTTAGGATGGACTTGTACTAACAATCCTAACCCTCGTCCTGTGGAACAGGGAAAGGTAGCCGCTGAGCACCCACACTGAAGGCAAAGGATCAGCGATGCGTAAGATGCCAACACAGTGCAAAGGGGAAGAAGCTACTCACGTGATTAACTGTGCATTATCGTGCTTCTTCTGGGCGAGTCGCTTGCGCCTCCAGCTAAGGAATGACCAGAGGGTGGAATATGGATTCTCTGAAACTTCACACAAGTTCCCATGAGTCCACACTTCCAAGCCCACGAGGGCAATCCGGATGTTCAAGGATCGGTAGAACTGAAAGCACACACACAAGCAGCCACATCACCTGTCAACATCGTCTGGGACTTGTCAGTCTTGTCTTAGGCCAAGAACTCAGAGCACAGATACCAGATTTTGCTTCTCCACAGACCTGCAAGGGCACAGCTACGGGTTGAATTCTGCTGTTGTTGTTGTTACATCTCATCTACTATGAACCTGACCCATAACTGACCCTCCAGTGGCTTTTCAGAGGCTATAATTTGCATGGGAGGAGACTGTCTGTCTTTTCTTCTGTGGAAGCAGTTATTGGATTGAATGCCTTCAGGTAGGCAGTGCAGCTCCTTACCACCGGCCACCAGATCTCACTCTGAAAGGGGCCTTGTTTGGAAAAGAGGTCCCTGAAGATGTTATTAATTAGGTGAACATGAGGACATACTAAAGTGGGCTGGGTCCTGATCCAATATGAATGATTTCCTCATAAAAGAGGAGCGACCAATACTATTACCAACTGTGCTGACCAACGACACAACAGATAGGTGGGAGACACAATAGAAAGAATGAATACTGTTGAATGAAACTCAACTTCTTAAAAAACAAAACAAACAGAAAACCAACAATGAAAAAAAGAGAAACATACTTTCTGGACCAGTAGAAACTAAGGAGCTTTCAGAAATCTCGGCCTGATATTCCATTTAAACTCTGAAGTGAAACCACTCCTGGAGGTCACCTTTCATCTAAATGGAGATTGACTTACAAAATAAACTTTATCCTCCAAGAGTACTGTATAATTTTTAAAAAAATAACTGTATTTGATACAAAATGGTCAATATTTATCCTAAACAAAGAGTGAAGGTCAGAGAAGATGAGGGAGATAAAGAATAATGGAAAATGAACACAAGAACAGAAAGAAGATAGTTGCCAGAAAGTGGAAAATGTAACCAACGTCCTGAATTATATGTGCGCGAATTGTTAAACAGGAACCTAATACCCAGTACAAACATTCACTAAAAAGATAATAAAGTATCTGTAGGAGGGAAAAAAAATGAAAGAAAAGGGGAAAATAGTCATGTGAAGCCAAAGAAGTGATCAACGTACATGTCAAGGAAATCCAAACATTGCCAGAAGAGAGAGGCAGGAACAAATGGTTTCCTACTGAAAATATCCCTGATTTTGGAATACTAGCCTCTAGAATCAATGAAACACAGACAGACATTCCTCTGGTGTTCCTCTTGCTTTCAGCCAAGATCCATCTAACATTAGCTGCAATATCCCTAAGTACCACAGCCTCTTCTTCACCCAGCCTGCACTTCAGGCAGTTCTCTGTTGAGGCGCTGCTCCAGTCTGTTGGCCTAGTGGAGAGAAGCTGCAGTCTTTAGAACTGTAAAACAAATAATCTCTGTTCTTGTAAGCCAGCCCAATGTGATACTTTATAATGGCAGTCCAGAAAATTATCTGAGGGAGGAAGAGAGTAACACTCCTACTATAGTCATATGTTTTTCAGAAGAGAAAATAGAGGAAATGAGATTCTGGGGAAAGACACACAACATTCTCACGGAATCCTGGCGGCAGAACTGGGGTTATTAAGCTCAAAGAAGCTGTTCAGGCAATAAAGTTGTTTTCAAATCCATGAAGAAACCATCGAGAAAGAAATCCAAGTAGGAAAAAGGATAAGTGTTGTTCTGACATCTTGAGGGAATACTTTATTAAAAGTTAAATACGATAGGGAGGGCAAGATTAATCTTAAAATAGGAGAAAAAGCTTCCGAGCAAAGTTGGTTACCAGAAAGCTTAGAACCAAGCTTTGCTGTGCTCTGTAATAAATAATCTGCTGTGTGCTGGAATTTTCCCTCATGATCCTTCACATGAGCTTATCTTTATATCTATATAAAACAACTTATCTGTATATATCTAAAACAATGTGTGTGTGTGTGTGTGTGTGTGTGTATAATTGCTGTGTACTATTATGCATGTTGTTGTTGTTGTGTGTTATCAAGTTGGAACCTATCCATAGTTGACCTTCTAACAGGTTTTCAGAGGCAGTAAATTGCACAGGAGGAGACTGCCCAGCCTTTTCCCGTGGAGCAGCTGGTGGACTCAAACTGCATGCATTCAAAGTACTTGCCTTTGTGATTGCAACACAGCTTCTCACC